CTCCGGATAGGCTCAAGGGAATTCTAAGAATGATTCTAATTAAATTCATAGAAGCGGTTGCAAGGTAATTCCAAAAAGAATTCAGCGGTAATTATTACGCGGAGTGTTTTCTGGTTTATTTCAGAACAATTTCAAGATAATTCAGAACAGAATTCCAAGTCAATTCTGGAATTCATGTAATGAGAATTTTGAACAACGAAAAATTAAAACCCCGGAAAAGAATGATTCAGTTTCGGTTTTTACAAATACATATTTGTATCCAAAGTCCAACATCTTCAATATTTTCTTTAAAGGACCATGCACTTTACATCTGAAATTGAGACGACAAAAATCAATTTGCAATATTGCTGAGTGATTGATTCTAAAAACAATAAAACGAATAAGAAAATTATGCAGCAAATAGAGTAAGACATTCATTTGATAAAGGATCACTCTTTTTTAATGGTTTATTCTGAAATTTGGTGTAAAAATTTGTTTCTATGGTATGGTTACCGTGAGGGTGCCTTATTCTGCGCATTTTTTCATTAAAACATTTTTTGAATTCTATTTACGGCTATAATCATCTTTATTACACGATATAATGAATCTGAATCATGTAGTCTACGATATAAATAAGTACCAATTCAAGAAATTGCCGACATCATTGGAAAAATAAATAAAAACAAAACCGGCAGCACTGAAAACGTCAAAAAATGGCATCCGTTAGCAGCAGCGCTAAGAAGCCCGTTTGAAAACATTTCTCATTTGTTAACATTGGAGTGTGTTTATTTCATTCATTTTTGTGCTGATCGCTAGATGTAAGTATTTTTAATTTGATCCAAATGGATTTCAGTGCATATCGAGTATATTGCACTGTAAAAGAAGTAATTTATTTTGCGCAAAATATGGTACAAATATTGTCTGCATGTTCCTAAATCTCCGGATAGGTCGAGAAAATGAGTTCCGGAAGAAAACATATGCAGTACACTCCCCAGCAAGTTGAGTCGGCAATTCTAATGATAAAGAAGGGCTTTTCTATTCGCCAAGCTTCCAAAGCACATCACGTTCCGGAAAGTACGTTAAGAGCAACACTGGCTCGCGGCTCCGTATCTCATCATCCCGGTAAGCCAACCGTTCTAACAAAGGAAGAGGAGGATCTTATTGTTCCGTTCGCTGTAAAAGCTCCTGGACGTAAATGGTTAAAACATTTTCTTGGCCGACATCCGAACATTGCTCGTAGAATTCCAAGCGCTTTGTCTAAACAACGGACGTGTGTTACAGAGAACCAAATTCGGAATTGGTTTCGTGAAATTCAGCAATTCATCCATCAGGAAGAGTTACGTGATGTTTGTGCAAAATCCACAACGCGTTTTCAACATGGATGAATCGTCTATGCGATTGGTTCCCACGAAAGAGAAAGTTCTAGCGAAAGTCGGACAGAAATACGTTCACACGGCTAACGCAAACTCGGAGAAAGAATGCTACACCGTATTATTTTCGGCAAATGCAGCCGGATCGCTGGCGCCACCATTAGTTTTATTTCCATACAAGCAGCGGCTTCCTGCGGAAATAGCGAACAGTGCGCGAGATGGTTGGGCTATCGGAAAAAGTGTATCGGGGTGGATGAACCAGGAAACCTTCTATTACTATCTGAAGAAAGTGTTCTATCCGTGGATTATCAAAAGCGATATTCCTCTACCGATTGTGCTTTTCGTCGGCGGGCACAAGTCCCATGTGTCCTTTCAAACAACAGAGTTTTGTCGAGCTAAAAATTTTGTACTGATTTGTCTCTTCCCGAATTCCACCCATGTACTGCAGATGTGTCGTTTTTCAGAGGGTTGAAAGTGCAGTGGAGTAAGCATCTTATTGAGTGGCGCACTTTCCATGCTGGTGAACCCATAAAAAGGCACGAGTTTACGCCGTTGCTAAAACGGGCTGTTTATAATATTCCAAATATGGCAAAAAATATCAAAAACGGATTTCGCAAATGTGGATTATTGCCGTGGGATCCAGACGCTGTCAACTACGAGATGCTTCTAAATACGAAAATCCAGCACAGCATTACGGTTCAAATCACAAGCTCTTCCGTATCAGATGCTAGCCCATTTTCCAATGCGACTGTTATCTTGGACGGATTAGAATCATCTCACATTGCGACAACTGAAGAATTTTGAACAAAATCAAAAAAATGTACAATGGCCAGGACAGGTTGAAGACGCTAATTTGTTTTACGTGTGGCAACGTGTAAAACAAGATGTAGAATCTGAGAAATTGTTGAAAGTTAACACGACTTTTTCGTCAGAGGACGATTGCTTCCGTGGATTCGAGGAATTTGATCTAGACGGTAGTATCTTACTATGACATTTACAGTTTTCCTAATCATGCATGCAACAATATTTTCAGCCGATCGACGAAAGCTTCTTGTTAAGTACCAACTTCAAAGCACTGTCGAAAAAGATCCTTCTCCGTTGGAAACAGGTGATATCAGCCAAGGAAACCCTTTGGCGATGGAAAATTTTCGTGCTTCTGGTGATTGCATCGGTAATATTGTTTATGAGAACGTACCAATTTAGTATATTTATTTCCCATAATCGATATTTTCAGATGATTGCCATTCTATCGTTGGGGAACCCATTATCAGAAGCGCTATTGACCCAGGTACCGGTCGTCCGGATTGTATGCAAGAAGCAGGTGGAAGTCAGCATCAATCAGTGACAGATTCTTCAAACGTGAATATTGGAACCACGCACATTGCAGAACCAGAACATGGCATCGACGATGACTTTTTCGACAAAGCTTTTCAAGTACCCTCTTCTGCGGCGCGTAAAACTCGTAAATTAAAGAAGTATAAACCACGACCTCCATCTGTGGCTACGAGTGAGGCATTCAAGGCTTATTTTGAAACGATGGAATTAGAAAAGCATACGTAAGAGCAAGAAAAACAACAAAGGAAGGCCATTCGAGAAGAATAAAGTCTGGCAGCGAAGAAAAAGCTGGAAACACTTACTGGAAAATGCCAGCGAAAGCTTTAAGGAAAAGGCTGAAGGGGCTGGTACTAATTTGGCAGAAATTGAATAGACAGTTGTGATAAAGTTTAAATTATGATAAAGTTTGCTTTAGAAAGATTTCCAAGAAAAGTTGATTAATTTTTTTGTACATAAATGCTTAATACTCATACAAGAATAAATACCATGATTTTACATGCTGTTTTTTTGTGCGCAAAATTAGGAACACAGTGCGCAGAATATGGAACATTTGAAAAATGATGCACAGAATTAGGAACATCATCACATACTCAAAAAATACTTTGTTTCATGTTACCGTTTTTCATTAGATCAACATTTATATTTTTTATGTATACCTACATGCTAGAGCTATACAAATACTAAATCAAAATATTTCAAAACAATGCTGAATTTTTCTAGAAACTCTTTTTTTGTAGAAAATGTCTTAAGTGCGCAGAATATGGTACCATCACGGTAATTTATTTTCCCGGTTCTCTCGTCGAATTCCCGGGTTTTCCCGGTTACTTTTCAAATTCCCGGATATTTCCCGGTATTCCCGGTTTGCTGACCACCCTGTTTATTTGACTTTTTAATTATTCTTTCAGGATTTCCATGAAGGTTCTTCCCATAAATCCATTTTAAATATACTTGAATTCTCCTTAATTTCCATTAAATTAACATCAGGTTTATCAGAAATTTCTGCTTAGAATAATCATGGACTTAAATTTGAAATTCAGTTCGTATTCTTCTCAGAATTCTCAAAAGAAAAATCCATCTCAGCATAGCATTCAAACTCTTCGAAGAATTGAACCCTCAAAAGCCGATTCCATTGGAATTCTTCTCGGAATTTATTTCGAACTCTTTAGAGTTCTCTTGGAAGTATCCTCCGAAATCAGCCCAGAATTCCTTTTATAACTTCCTTAGTGCCAAGTACTCAATTTAAAAATGTTGTTGATATTTTTCCATTTCACTCTACTTTAATTGTGAAAAAGTGACTTTAGTGACTATTTTAAGGGAAATAGGAACTTTTTGGTGAGAAAAGTGACTGACTTCAAAATAATGACAGTCACTAAAAAGTGACCTGCTACCAGCCCTGATATATAGAGTAAATGGGGGCTCGATACCTTTTCCTAGGATCGTCGGGGTAGTGAAGATACGTTATGTTTCAGAGCATCGAACAATCAAGGACTTGATGTACCCCCTCCCCCTCCTGACGAAAATAGGTAAAAGTATGGTCGTAGCCAACATTACCCTATCACAATAGATCAATGCATCAATGGTTCAGGACCGGTTATAATTCAAACATAAAACGAACCCCACACGTAGCAATATATTGACGCGAAGGGAAATTATTGACATTAATATTGATGATGTGAATACAGAAATATTGTCAATACCGATGTATCGACGTCAATTTTGAATGAATTGACAATACGATTATTGTCAATAAAAGCAATCGTGTAGGGTCCACTTGAGAATGTAATTCATTAATTTTTGAATAGCTCCTATCCGCTATCATTGAATAAACAAAATGATCATCTTCATTCGTTTACTACCGCAATAAGCGCAAAAAGTCATCCGATTCGCTCAAAAATCAATCGAAACATAATAAATAATGCCTACTAAATGCGTTACCCAAACAGAAAAGAACTTCTCATACAAAACAAAAAATGACTCCATTTTCTCCATCTAGCCCAGTGGAACGGCATCACCATGGAGAAGCTTGCATCGAATTCTTCCGTGCAATCATCAACCGGGAGCCTTGGATCAAAAAAAAATCGCGACTCCCCAATATTTCCGCATCTCGATTTCCATACACCGACCGCACCGAGGCAATGATTGCTTCTTCAGTGGAGTTTTGCCTACTCTGCCTCTTGCAGCAACAAACACACACAACCACAGGAACCAATGCGCTTTGCTGCAACCTCCATTTTCCATGCTCTGCACAATATATCGCATTGATTTTCCGCTCGAATTCGGCCGATTTTAAGATGAAATTCAATGCATGGTACTTACCGGCAATTTCCTTCCGTAGATCGTCCTTGGTCGGCTCTGACATAATTCCGCCTTTCCGGGTTTTTCTTCTTTTCTGAGGGAGATAAAATCGCACAAATTTCCGGTCCTGGTTCGATGTTGACTCCTGGTAGGTGTGATCGGTCTCTCCTCCACTCACTCACTTTCTTTATGTTGATTTTGATTTGCGATTGGAGCAGCGGATTGAATTCGGCGAGACGACAGGCGGCGGCAGCAGCGAAACAGCACTACCACCACGATGAAAGCGGATTTCTATTTTTTTGAGAGAGAGAATTGCCATGGTTCATTAGGAGAATGTTCTATGTGGGAAGGTGGTGTGAAGCGACGCACTGGTTTGAAATACTCGATCAATAGCAACCATTATAAAAAAAATTACATTCCCGAATGATAATCAAAATGATAGAACTATTCAACAAATGGTTTGGAAGATACCCTGAACACGTCGTCAAGTAAAATAACCATACACAATGTGTAGGGAACCTGGTCTATACAAGGTGTGAAGATCGAGCCCTGACGCGAGACGCCCTGACGTATGTGTTGGTAGAGGGAAAAATGTAAACTTTGCGGGAGACGATGGTAATGACGTCATAACACTCGAAAGAAAATTTGCGAAATAATAAGTAAAACAAATCCTAGCTATTTAGTGGCAGACCATTTTTAAATTTTGGTAACATACATAAATTCTATAATCCATATTAAATTTCCTATGCAAGCACCGATCGATCGAAACAAACGTTATGATGTCCGAAAAATTCAGCTAACATAAACGGTAGTGTTCGCATTCGTACACACCACCGAGGAGGAGGATGTAAACAAAACTACTAATATATTAAATTTTGTTGGTAAGAGCACTGGTTACATTAAATTTTAATAAATTATGCATGGAAAAGACCCTGGTGATTTTGTCTGTATTATTTGTGTATTTGTATGAACAATATTTAACAGAAGCTGCCAGTCCCAAGTGAAAATAAATTCAATTTACTGAGTTTATTCAGCAAAATGTTGTCAGCTGTCAGAATTTTTTATTGCTGAAAAATCAGTGAAGAAATGTTGCTGATTATCAGTAAAATGTTGTCCTTTTGACAGAAGTTGGAATTGCTGGAAAATTCAGCAGCAAAATTTTGCTGGAAAGTTTGCGTATCTTTTATCGTCTGAAAATCAATAAAATTCTGCTGAGTTTCAGCGTTTTAAATTTGGTGTGTACACACCAAATTTGAGATTTAGATTTCAGTAATACGGATTGCTGGATCATGATCAGCAAAGCAATGCTTTACTGAAAGACAGCAAACAATATTTTTTATCGAAAAATACAGCTAACATAAACGGTTTGCTGGACACCCAGTATTGAACTGTCAAACTGTTAGCGTCACAGTCGCAAGTACGTACGCATCACCGTCTACATCAGAGGAGAAGGAGGAAATAATTAAAATTATGTTGGTAAACACACTGGTTATATCTAATTAAATATACATGGCAAAGAGCCTGTTGGTCTTGTTGATGATTCTATATTATTTGTGTATTTATATCAACAATCTTCTTCAGAAGCTGCATGCTCCTAGTAAAAAAATCGATTTACTGAGTCTATTCAGTAAAATGCTGCTAAATGACAGAATTTGGGATTGCTGAAAAAAATCAGTAAAAATGAAATCTGAAATTTTTACTGATTTTCAGTAAAATGTTGTCATTTTGACAGAAGTTGGAATTGCTGGAAGATACAGAAGTATGCTGGAAAGTTTGCTGGTCTTTCATCAAGTCTAAAATCAGCAAAATTTTACTGATTTTCAGCGATTTAAATTTGGTTTGTAGCCCAAGTTGGGTCAATGGAACGTCTGGATCGAGGAAATCCATAATTATTTGGATTGTTCCCGCACTTGCTTTTTTTTCTTTTTTTTTTTTTTTGTAAGAAAATAATACAGGAATCAACGACGAGATCACTGATGTGTGCGATGGGCGGTGGCGTCAACCCACCACCATTTCTCAGCAGTCTTTCAACCAATTTAGCTTATTTTGTATGGGTGACAAGTTTGTGGTTGACTCTTATTACAGTAATGACGTAGACATAGACATAACCATCGAAATATCATATAGTTGGGCAATTTCGGCAAACTTCATTAACATAATTCTACAGAAAATTATTAATAAATGTTTCCTTTCAATAACTTTCATTGTTGAACCTTCGTAAATCCCGAGGTAAATCCTCATGAAAAGAGAATATTCTTACTGGTGGTTTACTAGGGCGCTCAGACCGAGGCTCAGACCACCCCGATCATTTTACCTCACCGTTTTAAATTCTTTCATAAGTTATAAAACTTTACTTTTAATATCCAATTTGTATTCATGATGTAAATAGGACTTCAACCTATCAATTTGGCTAAAAATCATTCGGATTTTCCTCTGAATTTGGTAAACACTGAATACATAATGTAAATTTATATGACGAATACATAATATAAATTTATTATGAAACAAAAACAACTTATCCTAAATTTCAGCATAACATTTCGCACCGTCCTCCCCATCCACTGTGTTTTATTCGTTTTATTGCCTGATGCCGATCAACCACCACAGGCGCAGTGTTTACCTGGCTCGGTGGATTGATGCCGGTTCACAAACACCAAGATCGTTCCGGTGAAAATATATGGATACGGGTGGTGCTCTCTCGCCGGCAAACAGTGCTGCCGTGGTATTGATGAAATCTAGAGAGAGAATGAAAGAGAATGCCGGGTGATTACTGTCACTGGTTCGCTTTGACATATGCGATACTAATCTGCTGCATTGGGAGGAGATGCAAAATTTACCGATGGGAATTTCATCGGTAAGTAGAGAAGAGCTTAAACTAGATTCCTACAGGTGGCGGGTCGAGTATGAAATTGGGTTGACTTAAGGCATCATTCACAATTTCATAAATCTTATTTTTTCTCATCAAAAAATATATGGAAGCACCAGCCGGATCACTGCAAACCTGATACAGAAAACAAAATATTCCACGGTGATGATGATTTTAAGCACCTGCGTGGATAAATTAATCAGGAAAGGTGAAAATATTTTAATCTTCCTATGCTTCACGGTGAAAATTTCCACCCTCATCACTCTTTTTATGGTTCCCCTATTCAAAGCCAGAAGCCGGAACAATCGCTTAGTTTCTATTGAATTCGCCTATAGCGATGTAACGAAGTGACAGACGGAGCGGCTCGAAAACTTTGGTGACTAACCTGCTATTTCAATTTTTCAGTGTACCACATGGCAACACCACTACTACTGGCTTGTACCACATGGCAACACTACTAATGGATTGTACCACATGGCAACACTAAATGTACTAGAATGTTTTGGTTCTATCTCTTTCACTCTACTCTAAACTGAAATGCATAAAAAAATGACAAAATGATACACTCTTTGCACACTGTCAAAGAATCATTGCACACAAAATCAACTATGTTCAAATCAAAACAAAAATACTAGCCCATCTGGTGGCTGATGGCACAAGCTTCTAAGAAAATTCTATTACAGTGAACCACATTATTTTAATTGATTTCTTCGCCAGTTAGTCGTCTGTCACTTCGTTTGTGGTAATACGACATTAGTGCATGGACTAATGGATATACTAAAATAAATCAAATTACTGGTCACAGTAGTGTTAGGTCCCGTACAGAGGAAAAAAAGTAACATTAAAGGGCCACCAAGGGGTTGGTCACTCCGCGCAGTGTGCCAAAAATTCAGAAGGGCACACCTGGGCACTTTCATTGGCACCCATGGTTAGAAATTTTCATGATATTTAAAGTTACTGGCAACACTGTACTATATCTGCGCCTGTTCTGTGCATGTGTCAATATGTTAAACAATGTTGTTGACGCAGTCCAATTTTTGATTTCATAACTTCAACCGTGAATTTCCGGCGAAGTTTTGCCATGAATTGCTCACAGCGCACATATGTTCAAAACATTAGCTTAATACCGATCATAAGTCAACGCGGGATGAGCGAGGTCATCAAGGCGATGACCGTTGTCAAGTACTACTGTAATCTGGGGGTCATACTGGAATTCTTCCGTATGGTGCTGGAGTCGCTAGCGGAAGACTTCAAGATCGGAGAACCTCCACTCAAGACGATCGAACTGTTCAGGAATCTGGTGTGGAAGGCTTTGGTGTTTCAGAACACTTTGATCGAAGTTGGGAAGGGGGTGGCATCGTTCCGGAAGCTGATTGAGAAGATGACCATGAAGGGACTTCTACTGGTCATCATGCCGATTTGGAATGTGATTAGTGAGTTGGTTAGTGGGGAGAGCGAGACCCTGAAGGAGGAAGTGAAGGGAACGTTGAAGACGTTGATATCATTTTAGGGTGGGGAGATTCGTGACGGAGCTGAAATCACAGCGCAAGGAGGTTAAGTGGAATTGTAAGATGTTGATTGGGCTTGAAGGTCGACATCGGTGAGTTGGTTAAAGGATAAGTTTAGCTCTCATACTATCAGGGTAGAATATTTATAGGCTTGGCGGAGAAGAAGTCCCGGTAGTAGCAGTTTTATCAGTGGTCGTTTATCATGTTCGATTCCGTAACGCTTCACCACTTCGTTGATCAGCCAAACGACATTCACTTCCTTGATTCATTCTTCATCGTAACTGGCATCGATGAATCCGCCTTCGATGATCACTAGGAGGTAGAATCTTCACCGGTATTTGCTTTCCTACCATCTACATCGCCCCAGCTTTTACAGGTGTTCTCTGGCCAGCACTACTTTTCGCCAGAGACATCATACTTCTCTCCATATTAAACCCCACCTCCACCAGGGAAGTCTGATTCCGGTTGAAACTAGCACTAGAACGCTGGCGACGCTTCTTTGACTGAGTCGATGGCTTTCGGGAGAAACTCCTTCCGGAAGCGTTCATCAGAATCTGAAGAGCATCTGGACCAGTCTTCTCTGATGATGCACGCTCGCTTCGCCTACTTACCACCGTCACCTGTGGTTCATTCACTTCTCATCATACTCCAATCCAATAGAAGTTATTGTCTTATCGGAAAATGGAAATGCCTCCCCCGGAGAGCATTCTCCCTTGAAGCTTCCGATAGATCTTGGGAGCAACGCATCGAGAGTCACGACAGATGGTCGTAACTACTGGTCAAAGGAACGAGAAACTCTACGTGTTAAACTTCTACACACAAGATGAGTGCGATTCTGTATATTTTTCGGGGAAGATTTGCAAGGCGACGGAATTGTGGCACCGCCGCAACGGCCATCTTGGCGAGAGGAACCTGTCGAGCTTGATGAAGAATGGCATGGTGAAATGCAGGAAGGGTTACAGCGGTGAAAAATCTTCGGTTATTTGCGAACCCTGCATGGCAGCGAAGCAAACCAGAAATTCATTCACTCTGCAAGAGGAGCGACGTTCGAGTCGGGTGCTGGAGCTGGTCCACTCCGATGTCTGCGGGCCAGTAACACCAACTGGTTGGGATGGTGACAGGTACTTCACAACTTTTATCGATGACTGGACGCGGTTTACTGTGATGTTTCTGATCCGGTCAAAAGATGAGGTAGCAGGGTGCTTTAAACAGTACGAAGCGGAAATGACAGCTGACAATGGCGGAGAATATGTCAGCAAGGAGTTGCGATCTTTCTGCAAGGGCAAAGGCATCAAGCTGGAGTATACGGTACCTTACACGCCGGAACAGAACGGCGTCGCCGAACGAATGAATCGAACGTTGGAGGAGAAAGCCCGTTCGATGTTGTTTGATTCTGGAGTTGATCGTGCGTTCTGGGGAGAGGCGGTGCAGACCGCTGCGTTCCTGACAAACAGAAGTCCAGCAAGGGCTATTGGCGACGGGATGACACCGTTCGAAATGTGGGAAGGTAGAAAGCCTGACGTTTCGAAGCTCCGGGTGTTTGGCTCTTCGGCTTATTGCCATATTTCGAAGGAGCACCGACGAAAGCTTGACGAGAAAGCATGGAAGGGTATGTTCGTCGGGTGTGGCATAAATGGCTACCGTATTTGGTATAGCTTGATCGAAGAAGAGGAACTTGAGGAGCAGTCTCATGGTTCTGAGCCATCTGGTCGCAATCGCCGGCCACCTGAGTGGCATAAGGACTATGATATGACGTTCGCCGGTTTCGCTCTCGGTGCTATGGAGTACGTCGGAAACATGCCAAGTACTATTGCTGAATTGAAGAAGAGACCCGACTGGTCGAAGTGGAAAGTAGCTGTCGAGGAGGAGATGAACTCGCTGCTGAAGATTAAAACGTGGACGCTCATGAAGCTTCCGAAAGGGCGAGAGGCAATCACGTGTAAGTGGGTTTTTCGGATCAAACCTGGAGAAGGCCAGGAACCAGATCGATACAAAGCTCGATTGGTTGCGCGCGGCTTCAGCCAACGATTCGGGTTTGACTATACCGAAACCTACTCGCCGGTCGCGAAGTTGGACACGTTGAGGATGATGCTAGCTGTCGCCAATCAGGAGCGAATGCTGGTCCATCAAATGGACGTTCGGACAGCGTTCCTCAATGGAGATGTGACCGAGGAAATATTCATGGCTCAGCCTGAGGGGTTCAAGCGCGGAGATGGCCTAGTCTGCCGACTGAATCGATCTCTCTATGGTCTCAAGCAGGCTTCGAAAGCGTGGAACGATAGGTTCCACCGTTTCGTGGTGACCAGTGCTCTTATGTACGTGGCGATGGACGAATGAAGATTTTCTTGATCCTGTACGTGGATGATATTTTGGTGATTGGACACGAGCTGAAGGAGATTCTAGCGGTAAAGAGTTCATTGTCGAAGGAGTTCGATATGACGGATTCTGGAGAGGTGAAGAGTTTCCTTGGTATGAGAATTACAAGGGACATTGAGCGGAGAGTTCTGTGGATTAGCCAGCAAAGGTATCTACTGGATCTGCTAGCACGATTCAACATGTTCGAGTGTAAGCCAAGTTCCGTTCTGATGGAGAGTCGCCTTCGACTGGAGAAAGGAGAGGAATCGCAGCGTACGTCGAAGCCATACAGGGGGTGAATAGGTTGCTTGATGTATGTAACGTTAACCACCCGTCCAGATCTGTCAGCTGCGGTTAACTATTTTAGCCAATTCCAAAACTGTCCGACAGAGGAACATTGGACATATTTGAAACGTGTGTTGCGGTATGTCAAAGGCCCAGTGAATGTCGGACTGGAATACAACGGAGATGATAGTGCAGCTTTCCTGGTGGCGTATTGTGATGCCGACTGGGCGAATGACATTGTCGACCGGCGATCAGTTTCAGGATACTTATTCAAAGTATTCGGATGTACAACACTGTATCGCTTTCGTCAACAGAGGCTGAGTTGATAGCTCTTTGTGAAGCCACTTGCGAAGGATTATGGATTGTGCGGCTTCTCACCGAGTTGGGTTTCCAGATAAAGACACCTGTTCTATATTTTGAGGACAACCAATCTGCTATCAAGGTGGTAGAAAAATCGAGGGATCAGAGTAAGCTGAAGCACATCGATGTTAAACACAACTTCGTGAAGGAATTGGTGCAAAGAGGAAGCATTGGATTGAAGTACGTGCCATCTGAGCAGCAGGAAACCGATATCCTTACCAAAGGATTTACTCCGGGACCGTTCCAGCGTCTGCGAGCAGCAATCGGCCTTGGAGATTGCATAAATTAAGGAGGAGTATTAGGGTATAATTTATGAGCCTTTTGCCTAAATCACATTATGAATGTATTTCGCACCACGAGTGCTCCTGTACACTGAACCATAACATCCTCCTATCATTGAATGAAAACTGATTCGCTTGCGCCCTTTAACAATATGCTGTCGAATTCTGGATGATTATCTTTTGGTTGAATTTCTCAGCAGATGATGAAGGTTTATATGATTATCATTTAATTTAAGTATGACATTTGCATCAAAACTGATTGTTAAAAATTCAGAGCTTAGGGGATAATAATATGCGAATAGAATTGTGAACACAAGCTTTTAAAATGTTTTTAGGCTTAAAACCGCGTGTGAATTTGCTTCATAAATGTGTGTAAAATATACAACATTCAGAGGACAATAATTAGCGAACAGTGTAACCACAAGAACAAGGTTTTCAAATGAATAGAGACTGAAAAATGAAGGTGAAATCAAATGTTTATTTTAATATTTTATTTTGAATTTCTCCGTTAGTACTAGCCCTGATTGCGTCAAAAGAAATTTGTCATTCATGACGCAATCAGAAATAGCCCAGAAAGCTTGAATACATATACTAAATAAAGTAATTTTTTTTATTCATAATCATTATACGTATACAATTTTCTTCTTAACATTAAATAATTCTGTATTTTTTCTAAAGCAACTGGAGGGCCATCAAATATATCAATATTAAACAAATAGTATCCTTTTTGCTTATCTCCTACAATATAAGCCTGATAATGTTCATCAAAGCTTTTAACTGACCATTGTGAAACAACAACAAAATAATCTTCTTTAATTTTAATAATTTCAACGATTTGATAGATCTCGACATCTGAACTTAAAGAAACTGTCAGGAAGTTTCCAGCTCTATACAATTTATTTTGATACGTTAGCGTATCACTAGAAAAAATGTAATCATGCTCTGCTAGGGGTTTTTCAAAAATCAGCTCTGTGAAATAATCTTTTTCACTCCAACGGTTCAAGCTGAATTTTCCATTTATGTATGTTTTCAAAAATGTTTCATTGATTATATCGTACGTGAAAAACAAAGATGCTTTGATACACATTGTGTAGCAAATATTCTTTCTTGAAGAAGTATTGTTAAAATATTGTTTGAAGTCTCGTGCCTCGTGCCTGAAACATGACATTTTTTTCAGAGGACCACTGTTTCTTATAATTCTAGGATAGTGTAACAAAAAATGCTGTTTTGGCTTCAAATGCTGATCGAAAAGTGTTGTATATAACATATGGTGCTCAGTAATTACATCTTTTAACAAATTCAAGTCCTCGTTCGAAAAAGAGGGAAGATTAATTGAATCAAGCAGTTTTAACAAAGTTATAGCAAATTTCCAAACCGGATCGTTCAAGGGAACAAACGGTCCACCTATAAAGGAAAAGAAGTTTGCGAAAACCGCCATTTCACTAGCTGTCATTCGCAAAATTACAGTTTTTTCTTCTGAGATTTCATGTATGTTTCATCAATATCTGGCATTCGACTTAAACCTTGCTCTAAGCGGTAGTTGTTCAGTTGTTTTCGTCTGCTGTTAATTTGAACAAGAGTGCACATTTTTTTTTATATATATGCAATAATTAAGCACTTCAGTGAAACCAAATGAGCACACTCCAGAACTATAAAAGTCGTGCATAATGTCAGCATAGAAGTTTGAAACAGTATGAAATGATTCTAGGGAGTTGAATAATGATTCTCCAGTCAATCCTGACACTGATTGTTTCTGCTGTACATCTATGTTATAATTATCAACATCTCGAAGACTATATTCTTCAATAATCTTTGGTTCTTCGGCAGAATCTACAGTATAAATTAGCGGTGAAGGATCCCGAAAACTACAACATTTGATGCAAACCAAGATTATCACCTTGAATATAAGTGGAAAATGGACGCGATACTCGTGGTTCCTCGTATTGATCACAATTCCATTAGATTCAATTTCCTTAAATGTGTCTATGACGTGTCCTATCAATTTATCAACTCCATGTTGACAATTTTGCAGTGTAAGAAGTTGATAGTGTTGGAAAACTGTAATAAAGGGCACAAATTGAATGCCTTTTATTATGAGCGCTAAGTGGATCGTTTATCTCGAATTCATCACTATAAAAAAATATTGGAATGATGATTTTCTCAGGACATTTAGCTTCAACAGTTTTAAACAATGCCCCATTAACAAAATTTTCGAGTCTCGCAGATTTTTGTAGGTTTTCCATATGTTCTAATGTTTTTTTAAGAACATTTCCTAGCTCAAAAAATTTTCTTATTTGATATTTTACATTACTCATGGTCAAATACGTTCTTTTTTCAGGAGTTTCTACATTTCTATCACTGTATAACTCTACTTTATCGATATGGATAACATAAACATTAGGTTTCTTGTACAGATCAGCTTCTTCTAAATACTTGAATAATTTATGTTCAGTATCAATAAATTCGAAAATATTTGATACTTTTCGCACATACATATCAAATACATATTGTTGTTGTACATCCTGTGATGTTGGTGCTGCTGTACTGATTAGCCGTCCTATATTTGAATACACGGAATGTACGTCTTTCAAAATATCTGTTACATCCTTGCGATTGAAGTTTCTTTTCCTGTGTAGATCGATGACGAAATTGATAGCTAGACGATCCAAACTGCTTAGAGAATTCTGCAAGTGCATGGTGGCAGTCTGCGTGGATGTTGATGGTAGAGCCAATTCATTGTCAACCGGTATCCTAAAATTTAAAGTAATAGTTAGCAACTAGTCAATGGTAAGACATTTGAATAAATTGTACCATTCTTTCTTCAGCTTCTTGATATTCATTTTTCGATTGCTTAGAAGTTCGTGGATTTTGATCTACTTGCTCCATTCTTTCGAGTAGATGTGATTTCAAATGGCGCCGAAATTTGTAAAACAATTAAAATAAATGTGATTAGATCACATTTGTTCTAGAAAAATATTTTTTTTATCGTTAAGATGCTTAACAACCCCCCTTTTTAGTCGCCCACTGGTCACCATAGCCGGTTGAACTCCAGACGAAACTGGAACCGCACTACCGTTCATACTGGCGACAACGCTCTGATGAGACAACAAAATCTTACCCCTTAGCTCCTCCCCTGATCCTATCCTTCCACAATGTACCTCTCTTACCTCGAGTAAGCCGCGAGTATTCGGCCCAACTCCTACTAGACATAGAATTAAGTGAATTTTGTTACAAACAAAGAACAATGAACTATCGGCTCCGTAAAGCTAACGCGATTGAGCCTGCCAAATAAACGAACAAGTTAAAAAATAACCCTCCTTTTAACTGTAAATTTATCAACTACCATGATTTTCATTGTTGTGAACCATGAATTTCGTTGTGATTTTATGGTAATCGACAAAAATGTCCAATGTTTTGACAATAAATATCATGTTTACAATGACAATGAAAATCATTGTATTTTTATTGTGTTTTTTTATGGAACCCTATTTAAACGTATTTTTTTTGTGTTATGGATATTTTAGATGAAACACATATACGTATTTTTATAATATTTTTTAGAGTATTTTTCGAAGTTTGTATTTACAATTCAGCTAATTTATGAAGTTCACGATCTCAGAAATGTATCTGAATTTACATTTTCAATACATTTCTATACTCAATCGTGCTCAATCTATTAAATACTTCTCGAAATTCGTTCTGATGGCCCATACGCGATTTAAATCTAATCTAAACTTTTCTTAAACAAAAATAGTTAGCTTAAAAAAGGGGTGTGGAAATTTAGATCGTAAATTTGCCTTTTATGTTGAAATATTTGGTAGGGAGCAATATATACCCGCATAAACGCGAACCATAAATTGACCTTACCTAAAATGGTTAAAAATTGTTTATAATCCCTGCTAAACTTTAACTGAAATGGTTATGGAACTTTACATGAACGTTTAATCATAAAGTTTCAACCTTTTGTATTATGGTTTTTTGGAACTGGACCTTACAAATAATGGGTTGTTAAGAACCATTACCGTTCCAAATTCTTGTTTTCTCCATACATTTTCGGAAAGAGAACTATATTAGAACCTTTTAACTTATGGTTTGAGAGCTTTAATGGTAATGGTTATGGTAGTCAGTAAGGTCCACGAATGGTAGGATGGATGTTAACCCTTCTTGTTTTCATTATTAAAAAGCTTAAAAATGATAGTGTTGTGTATCGAATATAAAATTTAATCGAACTGGATTTCAATCAACAATGAACGGATGAAAAAGGATCTTTCGGGTATTCATACTTGATACTTACTTTTCTCACCGAAAAACTAATGAAGAACATGTTATTACTTCGTAATGAAGAACAGTTATTACTTGGTAATAACTCGTCCAGTATATAATTAAGAAATCTTGGTACACACTTTTTTGCGCGATTTTCGTTTTTTAGAAACACCAAGACGATTAGACAGAAACTCGCACTTTTATCACACTTTTTAATATGTGAAAACGTGCTTATTTGTCCAGTTTAGTGTGAAATGCGCAATACTATAATTTACAGATCGATCATTTCTCTTTACTTTCGGTAAAAACCATTTTAACAATTCAATTTACATACCTGATTATCACAGTGTACTGTAGCTGAATATTTTCGGCTCGAAACTGCAGAAGACACAAGTTTGTTAGCACGTGCTGCTTTCGTTTTAAGTTCAGTTTCTTTGCCTGCCGATGTCACCCCGGTAGCACCTGGTGGCAGCGTGTGTCCTTCGTGGTTCTCCAGTTCTGATGATTGTTGCTATGCAGAGAAAAATGGGTAAAATAAGTAAAAGTCTTGTTTCGGTTATTTGTAAATTGCGTAAATAATGTGTATGTAACCTTGAAGGTATGTAGGTATAAATCATGGTCATTACGATTACTGTTGATTATTTCAGCGTTAACGTTTGCAATGATGAACTTGCGTTGCGGACGTTAACGTAAACGTTATCGACAATTATCGATTGACAACCCTGGTCCTCACAAGTACCTACTTCAAATCTCAACCGATCAGTCGATAACAACATGGACATAGCTAGAATATATTAGTCATATTCCTGGTCGTATTAGTTGACATAGGGTAAACACGCCTATAGTTGCGATACGTTATAAGCGTTAGGTTCCTATAGTTGTGTATATAGAGCCTCCATACACAACTATATGTACCTAACGCTTCTAACGTACCGCAACTATAGGAGCGTTTACCATACCTGATTGTCACAAGTCTCTGTTTTAATTTGTTGTATTGGCATCGTCTGGCGTTCATCATCGTGTTCTGGGTTCGTTTTTAGCTCAGATTCATTTCCTGCTGAGGCGGCTCCGTATCCTCCGGTGCTGTGTGATGATGCTGTGTGTTCTTCGTGATCGTCCAGTTCTGATGGGTGTTGCTATGTGTGAATAGAAAAAAGGATTAATCCCTTTTTGTTACGGTTATTTATAAATTACATATAAAAGATCCTATCTCAAGTCATCATGGATCATTCCATATCAATTTAGTGTTATACCTGGTCGTCGTAATCAAATTGTTGGTTTGGCATCAATTGAAGAGGCTCCAGGACTTGACTATCATGCTCTATATTTGTTTTTAATTCAGGTCCGTTTCCTGTTGAGGCCGCTCCGTATATTTCGGTAGCTTCCGGTGTCAGCGTGAATATTATGGATGAACTGTGTCCTTCGAGATCCTCTTGTTGCTATATATGAGTAGAGAAACAAGTTTAAAACAAGTAATTCTACTAGGCTATCTAAGGCTCCAATAAGGTGATCCAAGAGACGTTTTGCAGTTGGCCTGACAACTAAAATGCTGTGTGTGTGATTAATCAGTGTTACCAATTCAAGATGTAAATATAAACAAAACTATTTTCAACTTACTGTGAACTGTGAATTGTCAAAACATAAAAAAATATCAGCTGACCGTGGCTGTCTCATGGAATACACGGTCAATGGGAATAACACACAGAGAGAGAGAGAGAGAGAGTCATTTCTACTCAGTTATATGGATAAATTTCTAAAAACTGCAGGAACTCTGCGCTGAGTATCTGCAGTTTGTTTTTAATTTCACATACAACTGAGTAGAAATGTCTCTCTCTCAGAATTATTCTCATTGGCCGTGTGCCTCATGGAACAGCATAATAGATATCAAGGGTAAATTTACAAATAGACATAAGTGTACTATAAACAGTTGTTTGCATGAGCGAGTAAGCAATAACGGACGATTGAAATTAAAATTAAAATGGTGTCAATCAAATATTTTTAACTCAACTGAACAACTAATGTATACAACAGCAACATTCAATTTGATCGGAATCATGAAAACCAGATTCTGCAAAAATATTTAAATTGAACATCTCTTTATCGACTAGGATTGTGAGGTTTGAGAATCTCCGCGTCTAAAGACTGTTAGAGGTGACTTTGATCTCTTCGAAAGCATGATAATGCTATATTGGACTTATCTAAAAAATTATGCATGAATATTTGTGCATACTTGAACATCGTTCTCCACTGGTAGAGACTGAGGCATTCCTCTGGTATGATGAGCTGATTCTGTCTCTTCTATTGGATCCAACTCCGTATCAGAGGATTGCAACATGCTTGATGGTGGCGGTGTCTTTTGGATATAAATGTGCATGATGGTTTCAATGTTGGTATGCACGTACCCTCGCCGATTTCCTGCAATGAAAAAGATTTTTTCAATATAAATAAAATGCAGATAAAGTGAAAATTAGGTAATAATGAAAGTTTTCATTAGTTCATTTGAATATGCCATGGACATATTTTGTAAAACAAAAACAAAATGATTTTAATAGTCAAATTGTTGTAACTAATAGCTACTTAGGGAAAATTTCCCAATAATAGTGTTATTTTTCGAGGGAGAGTTTGCAATAGCAAAAAAATAATGATTGAAGTAATTGTTTACAAAACCACACGTCTATATGAATATATATTTTGATGTATTTTTAAGGTTCAGTCCAAGGTTCTACCGTTTCAACTTCCGGATCTAGTTGTGTTCTAACAAACGACAGGAAAATTGACACTCCGATGCAAAAATTAATCAAGTAGCCCACTAGTGTAGCGGTGGTGTGGTATCACCCAACATCTTGAACAAAATGTTCACTACTTACACTGAATATACTATTTATACTTGCCGTTTGTAATTTCCAATCAGATATCGCCTGATACACAGTAGCCGCATCAATATTGTGATCCTCCAATAGAGAATTCCAATCATCCGTGGTAAGGGTGCCAAATGCATCAGCCGGAAGACCGTGATCTAAAAATGCAGAATATTTTTCACTTAGTAGTCGGACATTTTCTAGAATCCTACATAATTAAAAAAAAAAAGACATTCCGGTTAAAAAATCATGGGGACTTAAACATTATTTGCCTCACCCATTAATGCAACCAAAACATCGGCTGGGAGGCCAAGTTTTACGGCCACATTCAAAATAAACATAAAATCTTGGTTGAACACTCTTACATCCATTGCTTAGGATGATATTTATCATAATTTTCTTGGCATTCAATTCACTTCACACAACTTGCAAAATATTCCACTTTCTACCTAGCTTTCTACTCGCAGAACTAATTACAAATGGAGAACTATTTTCCGAACACGATGAATAATCGGTTGAACCGTTCGCATCCACATTTTGAATGATTTTCGTAAAGGGGCTGAACCAATACTATTAGCATTTACATTTTGAAAGGCAATAATTTAAACAGAGTGCGATACACATTTCAACTGCTGAAGCGTTCGTTTTGCATATCACGGTACATTCAAAATTCAAAAGTAAAATCATCCGATTTTGAAAGCATCATCATCCGATTGGAGATGTCATTCGGAAAAAGGATTTCTATGTTCCAATATTAAGGGTCTGAGGAATCATACGAACAGAGGAAGATGTTTTGGTACAGTG